GAACTGTTAATTCTCTAGTGTAACTATTCTCCAGTTTATTCATGAGGGCAAACAGTGCTATGAGCTTCCCTCTTAGCACTGCTTTCAAAGTGTCCCATAAGTTTGGTATGTTGTGTCGTCATTCTCGTTGAATTCTAGGAAGTCTTTAATTTCTTTTTTATTTCTTCTTTGACCTAAGAATGGTGCAATTATGCATTATTCAATTTCCATTAGTTTGTAGGGTTTCTGCAATTTGTGTTGTTGTTGAATTTTAATTTTAACGCATGGTGGTCTGATAAGATGCATGGAGTTATTCCAATTTTTTGTACCTGTTGAGGTTTGATATGTTGCCAGGTATGTGGTCGATTTTTGAGAAGGTTCCATGTGGCTCTGAGAAGAAGGTATATTCTTTTTTATTTGGATGGAATGTTCTATAGATGTCTGTTAATCCCAATCGGGTCATAACTTCTATTAGTTCCTTTGCTTCTTTGTTAAGTTTTCTGTCTGGTAGTCTTGTCTAGTGGTGAGAGTGGGGTGTTCAAGTCTCCCACTGTAAGTGCGTGGGACTTTATATGTGATTTGAGTTTTAGTAATGTATCTTTTACGAACATTGATGACTTTGTATTTGGGGCATAGATGTTCAGAATTGAAACTTCATCTTGGTGGATTTCTCCTGTGATGAGTATGAAATGACCTCCTTCATCTCCTTTGATTGATTTTATTTTAAAGTTTAATTTGTTAGATATTAGGATTGCCACTCCCACTTGTTTCTTGGGTCCATTTGATTGGAAAATCTTTTCCCAACCCTTAACTCTGAGACGATATCTGTCTTTGAGGCTGAGGTGTGTTTCTAGTATTCAGCAGAAGGATGGGTTCTGTCTTCGAATCCATTCTGTTAGCCTGTGTCTTTTTATGGGGCGAGTCAAGACCATTAATATTGAGTGATATTAATGACCATTGATTGCTCATTCTTGTTTGTTTTGGAATGGTTGTTGTTGGTGGAATTGTATGTGGATTTCCACCCTTTTTTTTCATTTGGCTGTTGGTAAGGTGGGATTATCTGTTACCTGTGTTTTTCTGGTTGCAATTAACTTCCTTGGGTTGTAGTTTTCCTTCCAGAACTTTCTGTAGGGCTGGGTTAACAGATATGTATTGTTTGAATCTGTTTTTGTCATGGGATATTTTGTTTTCTCCATCTGTAGCGATTGAGAGCTTTGCTGGGTATGGTAGTCTGGGTTGGCATCCATGGTCTCTTAATGTTGGTAGAATATATACCCAGGACTTTCTGGCTTTCAGAGTTTCCATGGAGAAGTCAGGTGTAATTCTGATAGGTTTGCCTTTTTCCTTTGTTGTTCTTAATATTCTTTCTTTATTCTGTATATTTGGGTTCTTGATTATTATATGGCAAGGGACTTTTTTGGGGTCCACTCTATTGGTGTTCTGTAAGCTTCTTGTACCTTCATTGGCATGTCTTGCTTTAGGCTGGGAAAGTTTTCTTCTATGATTTTATTGAATATATTTTCTGTCCTTTGTGGTGGGTTTCTTCACCTTCTTATACCTATTATTCTTAGGTTTTGTCTTTTCATGGTGTCCCATATTTCCTGGATATTTTGTGTTAGGGATTTGTTGGGCTTAAGATTTTCTTTGGTCAATGAATCTACTTCTCCTAGTGTATCCTCAATACCCGAGATTTTCTCTTCCATGTCTTGTATTCTGTTGGATGTGCTTGCATCTGTAGTACATGACTATTTGCCCAGATTTTCTACTTCCAGCCTTCCTTCAGACTTTTTTTTATTGTCTGTATTTCAGTTTTCAACCCTTGCACTGTTTGAATTGTTTCTTGCAATTTTTGCTTTGTCTTTTCCTCCATTTGTTGCATTTTTTGTTTGTTTTTTTTTCCTTCCATTTCTTTAAGGGATTTTCTTATATCCTCTTTGAGGGCCTCTATCATTTTCATGAAGTTGTTCTTAAGGTCATTCTCTTCTGTCTCATTTGCATTTAATGTTTGAGTCTTGGTGGTATAGCATCTTTAGAATCTGGCGGTGTCCATATTTGTTTTTCTGTTGCTGAGTGTGTTTTTGTGTTTTATCTCTCCCATCCCTTCTTCTAGTGGGTGCAGAAAGATCCTCTTCCTGACCTGGTGGGTAGGGGACCAGAGTTCCCTTTTGGTGCATGCAAGCAAGTCCAGTACTCTGGTGGTTCTTCTCTTCCTGGCCCTAGACCTGGTCCCATGGGTGGAGAAGAAGATCAGGAATCTGGGGTGTGTAGGCTCCTGCCGGGAGGGGAGGCTCAATGGCAGTCCCCTGGTAGTCCCAAGGCCCTGGAAAGCAGGCTCAGATACAGGCCTGGTTTACCTGGACCTGTGGGCAGAGAAGAAGACCAGGAATTTTGAGCGATATATTTTCAAAGAACTCCATAATGCTTCTCTGAACTTGAGCAGCATCCATTGCGATGTCTCCCTTTCTTTCTCCCAATTTTCTCTTTTGCTGAGTTTTGCTACGTGCTTTAAATCTTTCTAGACAGCCAACTCTGTGTCACTGATCCTTCCTGTTCTCTTAGTCTCCATTTCATTGTTCTACACCACGATCTTCATTGTTTCTTTCCATCTAGTAATGTTAGGCTTGACTCAGACCTGTTCTTTAACACTTCATTGTGCATCGCTAAGCAAACAGAACAGCTCTGGGAGTATCACAATACCTGCTTTCAAATTTTGCTAAAGAGCCGTAGAAACAAAACCAGTATGGTACTGACAAAAACTAAAACAAACAAAACCCCAAAAAACAAAATAGATATTCAAAGGTCAAGGAAGCACAGGGGGGCTCAGAAGTTCACAGCATCTGTAGGCATCTGCTTTTTGTCAAAGGCACCAAAATATACATCGGAGAAGAGAGACCTTTTCAACATATGGTGTTCAGAATACTTTCAACTTACCTTCTCCCACTTGTGCAGCTATTTCTTTTTAAAATTTTTTTATTATTTATTTTTAAGTTTAAATTTAGATTAGAAACAAGGTTGCTTCACAAGTCAGTTCCAGGTCCCTCTCCCATGTCCTTCCCCCAACCCCCCCCCCCATTATCCCCTCATTTCCCCAGGGAGGGTGAGGCCCTCCATGGGGGTGTCCATAGTCTGTCTTTTCATCCAGGGCAGGGCCTAGACCCTTCCCCAAGAGTTTAGGGTGAGAGTGCACCTCACATTGTTCTATGGGAGTCCAAAGTCCGTGTGTATACTCGGGATGGGTACTGATCTGCTGCCCAAGGCTCAATAGATTACCTAGGCCTCCTCACTGACATCCACATTCACGGGGTCTTGATCAGTCCCATGCTGGATTCCCAGGCTGATGCCTGGGATTCAAGAGTTAACCTTTGTCTGGTCAGCTGTTTCTGGGGTTAAACCAGCCCAGTCTTAATCCCTTTGATCATCAGACCTCCCTCTCTGTTACTGGCTTTCTTGAGTTCAGATCAGTACTTAACCAAGGGAGTCTGCCTCTGCCTCCATCAGCCACTGAATGAAGTTTCTGTTTCCCAGACTCTCTGGCCATGGGACTGTAGGCTGGCACTCCCCAGATCTATGTCTAAAATCCATATATGAGAGAGTACATGCCATGTTTCTCTTTTTGTGACTGAGTTACCTTATTCAGGATGGTTTCTTCTAGTGCCATCCACTTTTGTGCAGCTGTTTCTTAATAAGAAAGTCCTATTTAGGCTATCTGGTTAATGGAGAAGGCACTTAAAGAACAAATTTCTTGCACAAATGTCCTGCTTAAAAGGTTGCAGCCTTTCGCTGACACATGGCCTTCTCTCAGCTTGTTCCTTTGCAGTTCACAAGCACACATGGTTCATTAGCTATTTCATGTCTACTTGTCTTTATTTGTCTCCCCACTAATAGTGCACACACGTTCCTTTCTCTACACATCCTCCCTGCAATTTATTGTGGCTTTCTTGGTGGTAGCCATTCTTACTGAGGTGAAATGGAATCTATGTAGTTTTTATCTGCATTTTCTTATGGGTAAGGTGAGCAGTTTATCATATATTCATTGACCACTTGTGTCTCTTCTTTGGAGAAATTTGTTTAATTCGTTTGAACATTCATTGGATGAACTATTTGTTCTTTGGGTATACAATTTGTTGAGTTCTTTATATATTTTGGATAGTAATTCTTTGTCAGAGATTTTTTCCTGTTTTGTGGGCTTTCTCTTCACCATCATCACTGTCTCCTTTGCCACCAGGGAGCTTTATAACTCGATACTTTATAGCGTTTAGTCTATCTGACAATTTTTGGTATTACGCGTGGGTTATTGGAGGCCTATTCAGAAAGTTGTTGTTTATGCCTGTATCTTAAAATGTTTTCCTTTTTCTTGTAGCAGTCTCAAAGTCTTGGGTCTTACTCTGTCTTTTATGACCTCTTTGTTGGCCCCAGTGGTGCTGGGGATTGAAACTAGAGCTTGAGTGTGCAGGCATTCCTGTTGAGTCATGTTCCTGTCTTTGTGCATATAAAATTTTAAGTGGAAGACCATGCTGCAGATTAATAAAATCCTATTTTAAATATGCTCCATGGATACATATCTGTTTATATTCACATGTGTGTAAAGGATGTGTGGCAAACTATTAATAGTGATTATTTCTGTGAAGAGATGGAGAGGTTAGGGTAACTCTTTTCCATAAATTATATATTTTCACCTTTAAAAATTAAATTTGGGAATAGGTGCTACTTTGCTGGGAAAGATGTAAGTAACTTAAAGTGGCAGAGTGAAGGATATTGGGGAAGAGTATTGAGATAATGGTCAGGCCCATGCTTGTCACAGGTCCTAGATCTGGTCCATCCCTTTGTCACTCAGCTTCTGGAGAATCTATCTATCCCTTCAGTAAAATATGCATTGACTATGGCATTTTTGAACTGTAAAACAGAGAAAACTAATTATAACCTTACTTCCCTGTAAGACACCACACGGGCTTGTGGTTCCAGCTTAAAGAAATAAACACAAGGAGAATAAAAGTTTTAAATGGCAAAGGCACAAAACATACTGAAGAAGATCCTGAAGGGTTCCAAATCCTTCTTCCATAGTTTTGATGTCCAGTTTTCTTTGTGCTATCAAGTTTTCTTTCTGATTAATGAGTGAGATCTGTTTCTGATTTCTATGATAAAAGAGAAATGACAGTCATTTTACTGAATGTTGGAATGATCGTTCCAAGGAGCTGGAGGTTTGAGTGCAGAGACTTAGACACTATAGGCAAAAAGATAACCTTTGTTTCCCAATGCAAAAAAACCTACAAGGATAAATCCTTTTTAAAGGAATTAAGGGTTGAGAGGTGGCTCAGTGGTTAAGAGCACTTGATATTGCAGAGGACCAGCTGGGTTTGATTCCCAACACCCAGATGGCAGCTTAAAACCATCCCATAACTCCTGTTCCCAGGGATCCAATGCCGTCTTCTGACCTCCCTGGGCACCAGGTACACATGTAATGCACAAGTATCTATACAATAAGAATGTCCATATACATAAAAGCAAATAAGTAAATCTTTAAAAAAATTAAGGGAGTTGAGGAAGCTTAGATCATGAATAATCTACCTGATAAACCAAGAACAACAGAAACAAATATCTGTTCAAGTAGGGGATTAATATAAATTTACACATGGAACTTGCACAAAATTCACAATTCTCAAGTCACTGAAAGAACATATTCTGCAATGTAAACACAAGACAGCATGGGTAGTTGTCTAGCATTTCATCTGCCTCCTGTGGCTATGCCTCTCTCCATACAGTTATAACTTCCATCAGGTTTTCCTGAGAAAGGAGAGGGACATAGTCAGACAACCTCTGAGGATGGGTTGAACATCTGAGCTGCAATGGGACCTTGGACAAGAATCCTTACCTGTGAATAAATCTGCATTTCAGCATCTCAAGAATGAGGGCTACAGTACCCGTCTCACTGGTAGAATAGATTAGCTCACGACCAACTGGGCAGGCAGATCAATGAGACTTCTTATGGTTGGTGGTGTTTATCCGGATATACAGCAGAGAAAATGAAGCTCAAAAGAAGTTCATGGTTTTGTTTAAAATGTTCAACTGTGACAAGAACTTCTCTGGCAGAGAAAGTGACTCTCCTTCAAAACCATCCTAATGTGATGCAGAAAGCAAAGTAACTTACACTCTCTAAGTTACATACTTGTATGTTTAAGAGTCATGCAGAGCCATAGGATTTGGTAATGTTTTGGGTGTGTATTGTCATGGGACCTTTGGGAAGTGATTTAGTGTGGATGAGGTCTTGAGGGTGGGGTCCTCATGATGAGATTAGGTCCTTCTAAGAAGAGAAATAAAACTCACTCTTTCTCTATGTGAGGAGAGAGAAAAGAGGAGGAGAGGAGGAGGGAGAGAGGGAGACACACACAGAGGAAGAGAGAGAGAGAGAGAGAGAGAGAGAGAGAGAGTACTATTTGTAAGTCAAGAAGAGGGTCTTCACTAGAACCCAAACATTCATATTTATACTGCCATCCCAGGTTCCCAGCATTTACAGTTGAGAGAAAATAAATTTTTGTTAAGGCCAACCAGTTGATGGCATTTCATTATGGAGAATGAGATAAAGACAAAAGACCATGATGATAGTGAGTTTTTAGTATTGTGGTCATTTGACATCATAACAATTTACTATTCTAGATGATGACTCTCAAACATTTATCTGGACGGTATGCACTTCAGGAATTGCAGTAAGATGAGACATGATGATTGCAACAACTCTATAGCTTAAATACTACAAGAATGAACATGAACTCGGCTTCACATAAGTGGGCTTGGATTCACACAGCAATTATATTCCATGGGCCATAACTTCGGGTATAGTATATAATTTCATTTTTTTCAAGATTCCACTCTGTTAATACTTATATAAAAAAGGCATCAGTGAATATTGACCACTTACACATCAATGGATGAAGTCCTAGGCATACAGAATGGAATAAGACTGAATTCCTTTTCTGGTTTCTCTGTAGCCCAGTAAGACCAGAGAGGTTTGCTATTCAATTGTTATGGGATGGTGTTGGGGCAGAGGGTTGGAGGCAGACAAGGTGGCGGTGGAAAAGCAGAAGAAGAGATGTTTTGGGAGGCAGGCCAAAGAAAGGTGCTGAATGGAGAGGAAGGGACATAGTGGGGAAACATTTGGGAGATAGAGTCACCAAGACTTGGTGACCAAATGGAGTCCAATAGGTAGTGAACAAGAAATGATTTCCTTCAATACTTCCACTGTAGGTGACCAAACTCCTGCCTAAGGAAGGGAACACATGTTCTGAGTCAGTGTTTAATAAAGGTAGACGTTAGAACTCACAGGAGAGTCTCACACAGTAAGTATTCTTTCCCAAGTCTGATTTACAAGTGTTAATAATGCCATTAATTTTTATGGATTTGAGATGATCTAGATGAGAAAGGCATTTCTTAGCACTATAGAGGCAGATTAGAAGTGTGCCTATTGATTATTGAATTAAGAGTATCTTGTCAAGAGAGTTGAAAACTAAGATGAGCTTAGATGGGCTGTCACCACTTGGACAACAAAGCAGGCACCTGTAGCTGTGGCAAGCTGAGTAAACACATACTCATCATAGGTCTTCTGTTTTTGCATGAACATTTTATCTTCCTCCTTCGAGACCAACTTATATTGTCTGATGAGTTCGTGTAGTCTCCCTCGGAGCTCTTTGTTCTCTAATTGAGTTTTCTGTAGTTTTTCCCCCATCTGGAAAAAAAAAGGAGAGAGAAAGAGATAGAATTAAAGGAATTGATTGGTGCTTCCTTGGGAGATAGTGGTCTTGTGGAAAGCAGTATCAATCAATAATGCCTCATACACTGCTCATAACACAGCAGATCTCGCACAAAGTGCAACCAACTGAATTCTACAGCAAATATGTGAATGTATGCTTTGAAGCTTTTTCTGGGCACTATGACAGATGTGCAGAAAGGTTGTAAACGTGGACATGAAACCGTAGAATGATAATGCATGCTGAAAGGTAATATTTGAACATGAAACAACAATTTTGTGTTCCTTTCCAGGAATATAAAGTGCATTAGGGCAAAGAAGACACCGTCTCATAGAAGCCCTTACTTGACTCTCTGACCATGCTTACTTCATGGTAAGTAGAACTGGACCTTCTGCATCCTCCAATCTCCCAGAAATTGTGAGCCTGATGAAGCTGTTCCTTCAACCCAATACAGATTGGAAATATTTGAAAAATAAGAAATGCCAGAATGTTCTAAAAAGTAAACTTTGAGTTTTCTATGTACCAATGGAGTTCACATGGATAAGTGAGGTGATTTATCTGTAAAGTATTATAAATACTGTAGAGATACAGAATGTGAGAGGATAGGCATTAGTTATATGCACATTTATTTACTGTTCTGTGTAGTTACAGTATTTTATAACAAGCAGGCTAGGTTAGCAACTTATTACCAGGTCAAAGAAATGTTTGCTATGGCCAGGCGGTGGTGGCGCATGCCTTTAATCCCAGCACTTGGGAGGTAGAGGCAGGTAGATCTCCGTGAGTTCGAGGCTAGTCTGGTCTACAGAGTGAGTGCCAGGAGAGACTCCAAAGCTACACAGAGAAACCCTGTCTCGAAAAACAAAACAAAACAAAACAAAAAAAAGAAATGTTTGCCACTAAAACTGTTCACAATAGCCAAGATAATGCAGCCAAGCCTAAGTGTCTCTCAATGGAAAGATAATGACAATTGACATGCAAGCATGATAAAACACTATTCAGTCTTTAAGTAGGAGGAAATCCTGTTGTTTGTAAAAAACATGAACTGGGACAATGTGTTAAGTAAAGTAATGTAAGCATAGGCAGATAAATATTACACGGTCACATTTATATGTGGAACATAAAAATCATTGAATATGTATAAGTATAAAGTAAAATTGTGGTAACCAGGGGCCAATGGAGATGGTGGAAGACTTGGGAAATGTTGAAGTGGGAGGCCTACCCCACATCCACTAAACTTTTTTTCAGTAGCTATGGAGTAATCAGTGTTGTTAAATTTGCTTCTAAAACTCATTGAAAGGGTAAATTTTATACCTTTGCTGTTTTCGAGCAAGACAGAAAGGGAAGCTACAAGAAGAGGGTACTGATGCTATGGGTGGAACTCAATGTTAGTATACGGGAGTAGGGAAGAGGGACCAAAGGCATTTCTCCTTCAATGGCAGTAATAAGAAACATCTCAGGTATTTGTGTATATACATAAATGAATGGACCCTATTATACATACTGTTCCACAGTATAGCACTTGGCATTCAATAATATATTGTGAGCAATACAAATACTCAATTAATACTAAGTAATACTAACACCCACTCCTTAATTTTTACTACCCTAATGAATGTTTGACTATCTCATGGCTAAATCTTTGTTTATATTCATGGTTACTTATTTATACTATTTCTTTTGACTTAAGTTTAGAAGATGTTTAGATTGAATTTCCATAAGGGTGAATTTGGATGTAAAATTAAAAAAATCAAAATAAAAGCAAAACTTTGGAAAAGTTTAAAAGACAAAGAAAACTAAATTAAAAAGAAGCAAAATATCTAGAGCATTCTCCCAGTGATAAATCCAACTCAAATACTTTTATAACATTAATGTTATTAAATGTAGAATGATTGTCATGCTTTGCAGATACCAATCAATAGCATGATGGTTGTATTTCCCTAAGTAATTTACATGTACATTAAACATACTTATTCCTGACATAAAGCCATCTACCCACAGGAAAAGTAACGAAAACTGATCCAAGTCATTTCACACAGACAATCTTTGCTGTTTTATACATGTAGAACTCGGCTAGGAGCTCAACTGCTGGAATTAGTTTCTATGAATTATCATAGTATTCTATGAAAAGCCTGCTTTGGAACTGTTTAACATCTATTGTGTATTTATTACATTAACTAAAAAATAAGGTGTAATTATCAGGTAAGTCATTTCTGTCACCCCACCTGCTGTATCTTATACACGAACACATTCTTCTTGCTAGAAGATGCAATATCCAGGTATTCCTTGTGAGTCCGAAAAAACAACCTTATGAACACAGGAAACAAAACTCATGAATGTTAGAAAGCATTTTTTTCCACAAATCCACACTTACTTATGACATTTAAAAGTCTTTGGCCCCATCTCTGTACAACCTATTTTTTATATTTATACTCTATATTTTTCCTCTATTGAATTAATTAATTAATATACCATTTGTTTATTCATGTATTTGAGAAAAAATATTGAACACTTGCACTGTGAAAAATTTTGTCCTAGACACTAGGAACACAAAATATGTCAAATCCTTACTCTTATGGAAATTAAATCTAGTGAGTGATCAGAATAGAAATGACATACAAAAATTACACTGTATTTCAGATTGTGTTATATAGTCTAAAGACCCTGAGAACAAGAATGTTGTAAGTGATGAGTGGTTTAAGATGATCTGTACAAGGCTGCCCCATGAAAGACTTGGGTGCTCAGAAGGAGCCAACCACATACAGATCTAAAAGACTTTAGGAAGGATAAGAACCAGAGACCAGAGATAGGCTGTGGGGGCCATGTGATTAGATCATGTGGGGTGTTATAGGATAGGCAGGATTTCATATTTGATTCTGAAGGGAACTGGGAAGGAAGCTTTAGAGCAGAGGAGTATCATGAATTAACCCATGCTTTGTAAAGAGGACTCTGATGTCTTTGTGGAAAAAGACAAAAATGGAGGAGGAACCCTACTGAAAGTGATGGCTATAGTCTAATCATGCAGTGGTGATAGTCGTAAGTGGGCATACATAGGTGCATTCAGGTGTGATGGCTTAAATAGGAATGATCACATAGATTTGTGTATTTGAATGCTTGGTTACTAGGGAGTGGCACAACTTGACAGGGATTAGGAGAAAGAATTTAAGCAGAATAAATGCCCGAGTGATACCCAAGAAAATACAAATACAAGGCTGATGGAAATTGTAGTGTGAGCTTTCTTGGGCCGGCTAGATCCCGCTGCTCTTCTCTGCCCCAAACACATATGTTGACTGTTGGCTAATGTTTCTTATTGGCTATCTCTGATTTAATTATTAACTCATTTTTATCAATCTAAGTATTTCCAAATGGTCTTGGCTTACTGGGAATGCTGGACTGCAACTCCTTTGCCTGCTACATCTCCACAGAGAAGAGAGAACAATTTTCTGTTTGTCCCTGCTTGTATACCTATTCCACCCGGCTATGTCACTTCCTGTCTGTCTGTACAGACTTCCAGACCTCTATGGTTAGCCTAGTTACATCACTTCCTGGAATCACATGATGACTCCTCTCTGCCTATACTTCCCAGAATCCTCCTCATATCCCAGTCCCACCTATCTTGCTGCCCTATTGGCCAACAGTGTTTTATTCATCAACAAATAAGATAAACATATACATAGAAGAACATTCCCCATGAGGAAATGACAAAAGACAACCCAAAATTTGAGAACAGAATTCAATCAGAGATAGAAACATTGAAGAAGACTCAAGCTGAAATGAAGAAGGAATTGAAAAGCCTAATAGTTTAGCTAGAGAACTCGAAGGAAGGTCTTATACGTGAAATGAATCAAGCGGAAGACAGCACCGTATCAGATCTTGAAGATAAACTAGAGGATCTAGACCAAATAAGCAAGAAATATGAAAAACAAAATCAATCAAACAACAACAACAAAAACAAAGAAAAGGAACAGGCAGAAAATGCGGAACACAGGCAGAAAATGCGGAACACAGCAAAGAAAACCAAATATTCAAAGGATAGGCACAAGTGAGAAAGAGGAATTGTAAGGACTCAGGTATTATGCTGGCCTGCCCCCTGTCACTTGCAGCATGTACTCAGGCAGTACCTTGGTTAACTCAGGGTTCTATGGCCACCCCGATTCTTCTCAAATGGTTTATGATTTACAGAAAGAAATCTAAGAAACTTTTGAAAAAAAGTTGCCTAATTTGACAGGAATGGATGCTATGGAAAGTCTTGCTGATGCCATAGAATCGTTCAATCGGATGACTCACTTTAATAGATTGTTTTTACTCTAGCAGGTGCTGCACTTACTTTAGCAATAGTAACCTTATTAGCTTTAAAATGTGTCTTGGTCTCCTTACATGGGATCATTAAGACAGATAGGAAAAAGCTGTATATACTGTGAGGCTGCATCACCTTCAAAATAATTGATTTTTGTATGAAAGAGAGGAGATCTGTAGCAGAATCCCGCTGGCCTTGTGCCAGAATGCTAGCAACTAGCACTAACCCCCACTGGGTCACACCTACCTAGCTCCAGAGAGTTAGCATCTAGCCATAAGCCATCCTTTGTCGAGGGGAGGGATGCCTTTTGTCTCCCTTTGTGTACCTTGTTTAGTAGTTTCCCAGGGATATAAAAGCCTAAGCAAAACTTGGTTAGGGAACCGAAAAAAACTGTGGTACCTGATGAAGAGAGACTTTGCACTTAGCATTGCATTTTTGGAAGCCTCATTCCAGTTGCTCTGAGTATATGGTAATCAACTGGCTAAAGAGTAAGTATTGAGAAAAATAAAAATGCCCTGGGTATAGGGAAAGTGCTTCTGTCCATCAGGGCTAAAGACCCCTGCAGCCTCAAAAGGCTAAGTTTCATTCTTAAAAGTGTCTAAGTCTTCTTTGGACAGACCTGTGTGTCACGGCATTTGCAACAGGAATTAAAGGGTTAAAAATAGGGAAAAAAGTCAAACTATCCCTATTTGCAGATGACAGGATACTATACATTAAAGGTCACAAAAATTCTACCAGAAAACTACTAGAAATGGTAAACAAATTTAGCAACGTGGCAGGATACAGAATCAACCTGCACACATCAATAGCTTTTCTGCAAAACAACAACCACAAACATAACATAGAAGAGACCATGGGCACACTCCCATTCACAGTAGCTTCAAGAAAAATAAACTATCTAGAAATAAACCTAACTAAAGAAATGCAGGATGTAAACAATGAAAACTTTAAACCTCTGAAGAAAGAGAAGATAAAGACAACAAAAAACGGAAAGGCATCCTACGTTCATGGATTGGTAGAATTAACATTGTGAAAATGTCCATTTTACCAAAAGCTATTTACAGATTAAGTGCAATTACAATTTAAATCCCCATCTCATTTTTTGAATAGGAAAAAAAAACTATGCTGTAGGTAGAGATCTCACATACCCTCAGCACTGACCACTCCTGTTTGGGCATGGTCACAGTTACATGGAGGAAGGCTGAGATAAAGGTCAAGAAAGGAGAGGTCACTTTCTCTCTTGGGTTCCAGTTGAGGTCGGAGGCCATCAGAGCGCTGACCTCAGTTCTCAGTTTCTCATATAAGGGATTTCTCCCTAATAAAATAACATATGACATCCTTACCCTGTATATGGTAATCTTCCTCATCACTATGCTAAAATTAATATGGAACCCAAAACAAACCAGACAGTCCTGAGCAAAATGAGAAATGCTGGAGAGATTACAATTCCAGATCTGAAGATACATTACAAAGCCATAGTAATAAAAACAACATGGTACGGGCACAAAAACAGACGTGCAAACTAATGAAGAAAAACTGGAGACTCAAACAGGAGCGCATGTAATTTCAAACACTTCAACAACAAAAACATAAGCTGGAGAAGAGGAAGAATCTTCAACAAATGGTGCTAGGAAAACTGGATATCCACATACAGAAGAATGAAGGTATACCTGTATCTATCACCTTGCACAAAAACTAACTGCAAATGGACCAAAGACCTAAACATGAAACCTAAGGCACTGAGACTTCTGGAAGAAAACAAAGGCAAATCCTATATGGTGTAGGTACAGGAAAGGACTTAATGAACAGGACTCCATTTGCTCATGAATTAACAGTTGACAAGTGGGACTTCATAAGATTAAAAATCTTATGATTTTATTAGAAATATGCATATATTTACATACATATATACATACATATATGCATGCAATAACAATTAATGAAAAAAAGAAGCTATGAAATTTAAGGACAGATGGCAGGGATATATGGAAGGGTGTGGAGGGAGAAAAGGGAAGAGAGAAATGTAATTACGTTATAATCTCAAAAATAAAAAAGAAATAATTCATGTGTTCTATATTTTTGATAGCTTTCTTTAGAAATATTGATGAGTTGAAATTATCATATCATCGTTTCCTCCTAAGTTTTAATACTAGTATTAACTGAGATTTCCTATTTAAAAAAATCTTACACCCAGTTAAAGATTTGTACATGTAATAGAACCATGATGGGACATTAGCCTTGTATTCTGCTGTTCTTGTTTTAGAAGACACAATTTTAATTAAAAGGCATTAAAACATATTGTAAATGGCCCTATTATAAAGCTGCTTGCCTCTTAGTAATCTGCTTGGACTACAGTATATCTCTCCAGATGTCAGTGAATCTCTGGGGTGGGGTGAGCATTGCAAGCCACATTACCAGATCTCATTTTCATGGCCAGGCCTGACGGATGCAGCGAGTAAAGCTGTGTCAAACACATTCTGACAGGGACTCACAGAGTCCACTGGGCAATCGGGGCTGATATGCTAGCCTTGTCACAGGCCATTTCAGAAGTTTTGGCACAGCCATACGTTTCCATGTGCTCACCAAGAAGAGAGTACTGCATGCAGGGAAAGACAGAAGGATGAAATGCTTTCTTCAAAGGAAGCAGACCATCATCTTTTAGATAAATGGAACACTTGCTTCAGGCGCTGGGTGTGGTCCCTCACATGAGAATGATTTTTGCCCAAGACTTCCCTGTATTTTCTTAGTAAAGGATGCAAGACCCCTTGACTAAGCATAAGGCATGCATTAACAGTGTATCCGGGTGTGTTACAGACTCATGGAGTGCCCCACTAATGCCCTTCCCCATGGGAAACATTTCTAGTTGGAGTGAGGAGCTGACGTGAGGGTAATTTCAAAGAGTTCTTTTATTTGCCGAGTATCTACGTCACCCTCGACCCTCACCCTCACCACAGATCACCTGAAATCTGACTGAATGAGGAGGGGATCCCACAAAGCAGTCTCATGGATTCAAATGCACTAAATACATTTTTCCATTTATTATAGTGATGTGTTTATGATAACGAAAGCAACATATTAGTTGTCTTACTTTGAGCCTTGGCTAGTCTCCCAAGGGCACACTCCAGCATGGTGATGTGAGGAGAATGTAGGGTCCTTTTTTTTTTTTTTTGGAAGTTTTAAAATTTCATTTTATATTCCAACCACAGTCCTCTTCCCTTCTCCCCCACCTCCTTCCCCGCTCACACCCTGACCACTCCTCCCATAGGGTAAGGCCTTCCATGGGGGGTCAACAAAACCTGGCACCTTAAGTTAAGGGAGGGCCAGGCCCCACTTCCATGTATCCTACCACAGGGAATGGGCTCAAAAAGGCTAGCTCATGTAGGGTATTTAAGGGACAGGGCCCAGTACAGGTATAAGGTCATTGGATATACCCCTGATTGGGACTGGTCACCACAATTTCTTGTTTTCCTTTTCTTTTCTGCTTCCTATGTTGTAAGTGGGTTCTCATAATGTACAGTCTATACATGGCACAGGGCAGTGGGGTTGTATGACCATGATCTATAGCCTCTACGACTGTGGGTCAAAAGAAGCTTTTCTCTTCACAGATCCCTTATACCAGGCATTTTGTTAAGGTGACTTAAAAAAAAACAACAACTAAAAAACCAAACCAAACCAAAAAACAAAACAAAACAAAAAAACCTGACAAATTGGCATCTAAAGAGCTCCAGTAAAAAATAGTGTCATACTTACAGTTTTTCCTCCAAACTTATACAAACTCTCCTCATGTCTTCTGCCTTTCTCTCCCAAATGCCTAATGATTCCTGAAGCCGTGCCATCTCCAAACTGTGATCACTAAGCATCTATTGAAAAGTCAACAGCAATGTGACAGCCAATCATTAGCAAATGATTCTTAACAGCAATTCAGGTTTTCTAAGGATTTTATGCATCATTCTGTTAGTATTCTGGTATCTGTGCTGGGCTGCCCTTAGCGTCCTGACAGGATAAATCCTCAGCTGCAGTCAATAAGAGCACCCCCTGTGCACATTAGCTACATTCCCTTATAAAAGGTAGGCCTTGCCAATCTCCTGTCTCTCCTTCTCTCCACCCCTCTTGTCCCCAGGGACAGGTCTCTGCTTCCCCTACCCTCCTCTCTGCCCCTCTCTCTGCCTCTTCTCTGCCCCTCTCTCTCCTCTTTCAATAAACCTCCCATGTGAGCCCTGTTATATGGCTTTTCTTCTGTTCCCTCCATTCTTAAAATTTTAACACACTCATTCAACTTTTATGGTGGGACCACCTTTAGTCAAAAAAGGTCATTTTTATGAATTTTTAAAAAAATAAATTCAACTTGGACAAAAAAACAATTCAGAAACAACAAGAAAACACAAAATTTGGTTGGGTGGATGACTAAATACAGCAGTGTGTGTGTGTGTGTGTGTGTGTGTGTGTGTGTGTGTCTGTACATGTATTTCGTCTGATAAACTCAGATGAAACTGAACAAGTCATTCTTTAGGTGGCTGTTGTGTTACCACTTTGGGGACAGATGTTAATTTAGTAACTCCCTAGAAAGTCACCCAACAGGGTAAAAGCTGTTCAAAGTGGTTTCTCTCTCTAGAGTACCATGTGATTGGCTATAAGAACACGGCTCCAGCATTAACTGAAATTCTAGGACAGTCATCAAAATCAGCAGAATGCGGCAAGAACTCTGATTGATCAGGGTTAGGCCTAATATTCATTGCCCAAGTTCGTATTTTCCATTTTGGGTTTCATAAATCTTACACGCCAGCAAAATGGATGTGCCTAATATTCAGCATCTTTTGGCCTCAGCTACCCCTGCTTGAAGAATCACACTCAACTCTGTTTCTGCCAACATTCCACCAGTTTGGTCAGTCAAAGGAGTGTCTAAACTGAAGATTCTCTGTGCTTGTTAGCCTGTACTTTTCCATGACCTCAGTCTATACTTAAGGAATCTCCACAAAAATCCACTGTACTCAACACTATTATATTCCCCTCCCCCCATTTAATAGCTTAATAGACCAAACTTGAAGTTCAGGTCCATGTGACACTCAAGTTTGGGGATGGCAGGAGGTTTAGCAGGCTCAGGGGTGAGATTATTATGACTGCCAAGCTTAATCTTAGACATCTTGGAATATATTTTAAAAACTTACATTTAATTTCCCTAAACTCTGCTGGTGGGATGCTTCCTCATACTTTAGGAGGCTCAAGATGGAGGTGTGAGCTTGGGCATAGAGATGAAACAGAGCTTTTTGCATAGACACTTTCTTAAGCCTAGACTGACCTCTGTGTCTTTACCATGTTGAAATAAAAAAAACAGATAATAGTCAAACACATATATGTGGGAGAAGTATTTGATTTTACCAATGTTGTAAAACTGAGATGCCATACTGGACACATCACAATTAAAGTTAGCATGGGCACCTCATGTAACATATGATGGCATCAGTGATGTACTCTCACAGAAAAGTGTGCTTCTGTATTGTGTGGTTTTGCTTGCGATTTCTGATATACTACAGGCCCATTCACTCAACTAACTGTGGCAAAAGATCAGCAGGCATTAATATATATTTATCTAGTGCTATCACACTTCAAAGAATGTGTCAGGAAATGTTAGCATGTCATCCACATCCTCTTGAAATAGCAGGAAGATGAACTAAATCTTTGAAAAGACAAGTATGCTCAGATTGGACTAAAGGAAGAAGTTTATTTTTTCTTACCACTGTGCTGGTAGTAACTGTTTGCTTAATTTTTATTATTTTATTTTGTAATCTGGTCAATTCTTTCTTCTTGCTGTATGCCTCTTTTCTCCTTGTTTCACAGTGTTGTTTAATCTCCTTCATCTATGGCGACAGGAATAAGCCAATTAAAAAGCCAATTAGCACATGAGAGTTGAGAAAGATCTTTTGCTTTGTCAACCTAATTGAATTTAAAAGAACCATTTCCTATCTAAGCAAACTACAATTTAAAAGAAAATGAAACAAAGTCAGGGTTTACTTATTTCCTAGTGTTAAAGACAGACCCATGAATGCCTATGAACAATATGGCAATGACCACTGCTAAGGAAAAGCATCTTGCAACTGTAAGGACTTGCCACAACATCACAGCAATGGGTACCACGCTACTGTACATTAAGCAGGTAAGGGGAGTAAGGGAAGTAATCACTTGTCTTAGAAACTCCAGTTCACACCAGCTAATGGAAAACAAGACCCAACTAAAGATGGAGAATGCAGAATCCCTGGAGACAGGACAGCCTATACTCTTAGACAAGTTTTCCCATTTTGACCCTAGTCAAACATCTGGTCACATGTCAGACTCTAGGAAAACGAGTGACGCTTATTAAAATCAAACTTGTTTGTCAGCAAGCTGAATGATCAGGAGCAAGGTAACAATGATCAGAGAGGCACATGGAAGCCTAGTAGATGAAAACCTTGCGAATTCTTATGTCTGGCTGTCTTTCCATTGAAGCCACCCACCACCTTTTTCAGTGTTATCTATTTTGAATGAGTGTGACCATAGTCGATATCTATGCGTCAAAATACAGACACACATGAGTGAAACTTGTTGATAAAAACATTTTCTTGAAAATTAGGGGAAAAACATAAAAAAATCAATGTAATAAATTAAACCTCTTTCTTCCCTTCCCATTTAATGTTGCATCATTTAAGTTCAAGTTTGACTTCCTGTGTCTGATGGTGGAAACTGCAGCTCAGGGTGAAAAATGTAGGCAGTCTCTGAGCTTGTGCCCATTTCCACTTGGGGAAGAGCTTTGCAGCAGTTTCCATCTTAGGCGTAGCTCCTTCCTGTAGAGGAGGAATGGAGATGGCTCTACCATTCCCAGAGCAACCAAGGCACAATGAGAGATGAAAGAAACCCAAGAGGGTGGACAGTGACCTCGATTAACACAGCACAGCCAAATGGTGCAGTCTCCACCAGGGCTGAAGAGGCTGTGGTCACCTCTGCTTCTGACCTCTGGAAGTTGCTGGCCTCATAATACGGTTTGCTTTGAGTGCAGTGGGATCTGGCAGCCCCTCTGAAGGCCATTCCTGTCTCAGGTTGCTGCAGCTGGAATAGCAGGCATTACAGGTGTTCTGCAGACATGACAGGTGTTCTGCAGGCATTGCAGGTGTTCTGTAGACATTGCAGGTGTTCTGCCTGACACTGCAGGTGTTCTGCAGACATTGCAGGTGTTCTGCCTTATCCTAGATTCTGTGTATACAGAAGTGGCACTAGCTAAGATGGTGGCAAATTCCTCCTCTCTATGTCAGCATGAGGACACTACAAAGACATGGGTGCTGCAATACTCTGTCCTACGAACTGAATGCGCACAACTGAGTATCTTTTTCCCGGAGGCTACAAAACAAGCAAGCAAGCAAATACAACCATGTGCTTCCCACTCCACTGTTGTTCAGAAGTTCCCAGAAGACAATCACAATGTACACTTACCAGCTAACCTCCAGGACAAAATGAAGAATTCCCATTGCCTGCCTCAGATTCACCGACAATTCTGAATTTAAAAAGAATAAATCCTACCATTTACCTGGGTAGTCAACTGGTCTTTCTTTTCAAGATACTCTGCTTTATGTTTTTCTATTAACTCATGTGCCTCTTTCAGACCTTGTTTTTGGAGTACAATTTCTTCTCTCTCAAAGTTTATTCTGGTATAAGTGTCATTTATATAAATAGTGGCTGCGGCTTTCTCTTCCAGGGTCTGGTTCAGCGACAGGACAAACTTGGCATGCTGCTTTGCCAGCTCTGCTTGCTTTACACTGGAGGAAAAGGATGACTCTCAGTATATGAGGACGGCATTTAAGAAAGAAAGGAATGAAGAGACTCTGGTGGCATGAGCCCTCACAAAGAGGGGCATTGTAAGGCATCCTTATTTTCCGATCATCTTTGTGGTTTAAATTTAAACTTGATCAAAGATAAGGAACCAGAACAAGTGTCCACTTTGCAGCTTTTTTAGCCACTACTAAAATGTCAGTCAACTGGCCTCGCCTGGCTCAACCTAGCCCCATGTGCTAAGATATGAGAGGATATTTTGGCTCAAAGAATAAGACAATTCAAAAGTCATTGTGAATGAATAAGTAAAATCTGGTCAGATGAGCGTTTTGAGGCAGGCTATTGAATCAAAGAAAGATAACCATTCTATCGTGTCTATATTCACCCTGATACCATAGCCATATGGGTGGGCCCAAGAGAAATCTAGCTAGCTGTCCTTTGGACAGAACCTAGGGAAAGACGAGGCTGCAACAAACTCTAATGCTCAGATGATGCTTGAGACCTGCTTCTCATCTTGATGTGTCATGTATCTCATACATGCTCTGTGGGCCACATCTCCCTGAGGAAGACGTGACTGTTGGGAGAAAGTCTAGCACAGAGATAATGGAGAGATTGGAAGAAGGACCAATTGATGTCATTTCTCTGTTTCACTCTTTAAAAGCTCCTGCAACATAAAGCCCTTCCCTAGTGTTTAGTGTCCAGGTTAGAGACTTTGGGTGGGGAGGGAGGGTGCTTGAAGCCTCGGGAAAATAGATATGGGCTATTTGGAGATTTATTTGGTAGAGGTCAAACATCACAAATGAGATCAATAAAAAGCAGCCTGAGTGGGAGGTTTGGTGGGGAAGTGAATCAGTGGGTGATTGTAGGCTGAGTATGGGAAACCAGGAAAGGGAATAAGTCTAAGGATCACAGTTCTTCAAGGAAGAAACCAAGTCAACCTAAAAACCTGACCATTGGTGGTGGTGGTGGTGGGGTGGAGGTGGTGGTGGTGGAGGTGGTGGTGATTTGAGCAGTGAGCACTCACAGACAGGATGCAGGCCTAGGGAAAACACACCTAAAGGCTTCCATTGTCTCTCATTTCCCAGCGGTGAAAACACAGTCTCACCACCACTCATCAGAGCCTGGATAGTGCATCTTCCTTTGAAAAGTAGAGGAACAGGTGGTGATTACAGTTTTATAGTTCTGTCTCATCAATCCACCATTCTCTATTTGTACCTTGTCTTTCCCTGAAGATTTATCTACAGCACAGATTCTCCTATCCTGATGGAACTGTAGGATGAGTGTCACCTGGGATCTATTAGGAATGTTGATCTTTATCTCCATCCTACTACCAGCTAGACCTATGAAATCTCCCAAGTCCGTGTTTAAGAAGCCACCTCGGGATCCTGATGCTCACTCAAGCCCCCAAATCACAGGAGCAGGAAGGTGTGGTATCGCTTGATGTATCTGACTGAGTCTTCTATTTCTGCTTGTTGGTTTAGAAATGTCTAGTTTATAGCTATCTCTGGAAATAGTGGATAGTCAGTCCATGAATAATGCATCATGAATCCTTAGTGTAAGTTAGAATAATCGGTATTCCTCAATTATATAATTAGGAGCCTCATTCATATTTCCCAGGGCAAGTGTTCTGAAGGCCTAGTTTGGGAAGCAAGCCTGTGGGCATTGAGATCTTACCAGTCCCTGTGCACCAACCCCATGCTCTGATGGGGCTCTTTGAACATTTCTCAATATGGAATGCCAGCATGCTGATATTTATGCATTAGCCTTGCAAATTTGCTCACAGTGATGAGTTAGTCTTCAAACCTTTTATTATTTTCTCCTTTTAGAAGAAATCCTCCTCTATGGGCTAGGGTGAGTCAGGAGTTCTGAACCCTGTCTTACAGATGGAGCAAATGAGGCCCATGGGATGATGCATTGGTTCAAGACAGCTGCTCAGGAATGAAGAAGGGGTGCTAGGAGGTCCCAAACTATAGGCAGTTACGTACATGGCCTCATTAACTCTACGTAAACCCTAGCACCGACTCAAACTATAGGCAGTTACGTACATGGCCTCATTGACTCTACGTAAACCCTAGCACCGACTCAAACTATAGGCAGTTACGTAATGGCCTCATTAACTCTACGTAAACCCTAGCACCGACTCAAACTATAGGCAGTTACGTACATGGTCTCATTAACTCTACGTAAACCCTAGCACCGACTCATCCTCCTGTAGATTATAGGCAAGATTGAAGACCTTTAAGGAAATTAACTGCACAGAACTGGATTGATATGTACTTACAATATAATTCCAACCAGAGGGCTTGCGGTGGGGCAGGGTGGGGTTTCAAACATAATTCTATGACAGGAGAAACTAAAAACACTGTGTCAACCTTAGGCGGTGCCTTGGAAGTAAGCATATGGTTCACCAGTGAGCGTTCCCAGCCTCTAAAATACTGAATGAGAAAACCGCCTACCCCAGAGCTTCGTTCACTTCCTTCAGATCACTTATTGTGTTCTTCAGAGACTCCACTTCGTCATCCAAACTTTTGATCTTGGTTTTTATTTGATTTATCTCAACAATATTTAGTCTGCGAGCATCTCTGATGCATTCTTAAAAGCAAGTGAAAACACGACTGTCATTTGAGGAGAGTCGCAGTGGGTGCTCTGCCTATCCTGAAGAGAACTGTCTTTCGTTGAAATACTCGCTTCCCTGCCTTTCTGCACCAGGCCCTCTGTACTTAGCCACTCGGACCATCTCAGTGTTACTGACATCTGCTGCTGTTAGGATGTAACCAGCTTCCGTGTTCCAAAAATCGTCACAGGGCGGAGTCTGTCAGCAGCTGGCTCCCACTGGCCCCATCCCTTTGTCATCTCCTGACTAGGGCTTTCTACTGTCTCTCGGACAGCATTGTTTTAGGCACACACCCGTGCACGTGTGGTCAGAAGTTCAGGAGGAGGGACAGCCACTGGGACATTGGTAAAAGGAAGCAGGGTGTGTATACTTATTTCCCCTTCTCAATAGTGGATGCTATAGGAAAGTAACTTCAATGGAGCGTGTTGCCATCACTAATTGTGGCTAGCTGTAACCAACGTTGTAATGCACTCCATGTTGGCGCCCCCTTCTCTGCTGTCTTGGTTCTTTATCCCATCCTCCTCTATGGATTATATACCCTAAAAACTATAATGGTGCACAAGTCATTACCTCAAGACTCTCATTTTGGAAAAACCAATACTATGTAACCAATTATTCATAAATAAATACCAAACCAGTGCAACCATTGGACCCTGTGGGTCGTGACTCCTACAGAGGTGGCATAGCAGTTATTTACATTACAGTATCTATTATATAACATTATATAATATATTTATGTTACATAACAGTAGCAAATTACAGTTATAAATCAGCAATGAAAATAATTTTAAGGTCGGGGGTCACCACACCAGGAGGAACTGAATTAAAGGGTCACAGCATTAGGAAAGTTGAGAACCGCTACCCTAGAGGGTTATTCAGCCTGTGATGTACCAAGGCTCAACGCACTTCTACACAACAACTTCTCCGGCAACTAGCTGATAGCTTCCTTCGAGGTTCAGGTTATTACCCGTAACCTCCCCCCTCCCCCAGCATATCTCTTTTCTAGGTCTCTAGTTGAATTGCTTGTGGTAACAAAATGTCTCAAACTTTGTGTCTCAAATTCACATCTCTATCCTGTTAAGTGCAGGCTCTGCTGCCAAACAGAGGTCTGTGGGATGCCTGGAGACTCTGATCTCTAGCAAATCTTCCCTTGCTGCATCCGATACTGGTATAGAGCCAATTCAACTTTCTCAGTTACATGTATAGCCTGCATCACAGAACTTACAAGCTAAGGTGAGGTGCATTTTTCCTACTAACATATCTTTCCTGTTTATATAAATATAGCCCAATCTGGAAAATAAAGAAAAACAACCGAAGTAAACCAGAAACATTTTTCTAACTCTCCCTTTGGTGCAGATCTGTAAGTCTGTTTTCCCCCTTGTGTACATGTATCATTGTATTTTCCTTCTCAACTAATGTAACAATAAGCAGATTGCTTTATTATATAACCTACAGTACCAGTTAGGATACAGTTGGAGGGTAGAACTCTCACAGAAAATTCAGCAACAAAAGTTTCTTAAAAAGTGCTACTAGCGGGGCATTGGTGGCACACGCCTTTAATCCCAGCCCTGGGGAGGCAGAGGCAGGGGATATCTGAGAGTTCGAGACCAAGCCTGGTCTACTGAGCGAGTTCCAGGACAGGCTCCAAAACAATACAGAGAAACCCTGTCTCGAAAAACAAAAAACAAAAAACAACAACAAAAAAAGTGCTACTAACCACAACTAAGGATTAAAGTAACAAGAAAGTAGTGGCAACTTCAGCCCTAAGAGGGAGCCCTAGCTATAAGGCTGTGCTCTATGGGATGGCAAAGAAATGCTGGGCTGCTGGAACTTTCTAGAAATCCCTCTAGAGTACTAGAGGACTTGTCCACACAGACAGAGCATAACTGCTCAAGGAACGTTGAGGGAAGTTCTCTACAGAGTCGTGTCTCTCTTTGGTACCACCACCGCCCAAAGTGTTCTGAGTGATGGGGATGCTTTGGACATTGAAAGCTGCTGGTTGTCATGCAGAAGCTAGGAATGGATCCCATGTCCTCTGCAAGAGCAGCAAGTGCTCTTCTTACTGTGGAGCCATCTCTCCAGGTTCAGTTAAAATCTTTATGTCATTAGATTTGGGGATGATTTCTTTGATACAACATCCAAAGCATAGCCAACTAAAGAAAAATGGGTAAGTTAGACCATCAAATTAAAAGCTTACATCAAAGGTCACCATCAACAGAGGGTTAAGGGTTAGCTCTGGGGCAGAAGTGGGTGTTCTCAAGTGATATATCTAGTAAGAGGTTAACATTGAGAGTAATAAAAACTCCACAACACAACGATGATAACATCTACAATTACTATAAAGACAAAGGTCCTGGGTAGACAGTCCTCACCAGAAAATACAGCAAACACAGGAAAAGACACTCAAAGGCACTAATCATTGGAAAAATTCAAATTAAAAAACCGCAAGGAGGGCCTAATTAATGCTGAATAGAATAGGTCTCATTAAAACAAACAAAACCATAAATAACAAGCGTTGGCAAGGATGTGGAGGAAATGAAGCCTTGTGGAGGAAATGAAGCCTTGTGCCTTGCTGGTAGCTACACGTGATGGCTGGTGTGTAAGTGCATGTGGAGTTATCATACAACCCAGCTATTCCCTTTCTTGATACGGAGCCAAAAGAATTAAAAGCAGAGTTCATCTGTGCATTTGGACATGGTTCATAAACATCATTACTCACAACAGCCAAAGGTCAGAAGGAGCACACAAAACGTTAGCAAGGTGTGGTGGGTATGTACTGTGGAATGTTATTCAACCTTGAAAAGAAAGGACACGCTGATACATGCTCACATATGAATAAACCTTGCAGACATTCATTAAGTGAAATAAGCCAATCATGACAAGACTACCTACGTGAAGTACCTAGAGTTGCCAACGCCATGTAAGTAAAAGGTAGAACATGAGCGAGGACGTCCACCGTGCCTAAAGTATGTGCGTAGCTATTCTTCAGAAATGGGCTGACCCATCTCTTAGTCAATTTACCAGCAAAATCATACAAATTAAATTTCTGTATAGCATATTAATCCACTTAACATAAAATGGGAACCCACTGCGGATCATATTGTTCAGGTAGCGTGTCTGTGGATGCTTATATGGGCAGCACAACTATTAAATCCTTTCTTCAAAAGCATGTGGCTCTCTATTCCCGTGACGGACACTGAAGTCCCACTGCTTACAACCTCGGAAGTACCTTCCAGCTCCCGGTTGATGCTGTTGGGCACAGTCTCCAGCAGAAAATAGAGTCTGCTCAGTTCCATGCTCTCGATTTCCAGAAGTTCAATTGTCTTTTTTCTCATTTCTTCCTGAAAAAAAAAATTTACACTGTTGAAAAGGTATGCATCAAAACAACAATATTACCTTCCTAAGAAAGTGTCTCTGTTTTGGGAGTTGAAAAAATCATTTCCATCAGACCTCTCCTGCTGCTGTTTCTATGTGGCAGACAGCAGGGGAAGATGATGGCCTATAATCAGATTTTAATTGGTCACTGCTGATTTATCTCTTAATTTCTGCTGGTTTTCTTTCACTCAGAACATTTTTCTTTCTGTGTATTCGTTTCCTATATCCAGTTTCAGTTCATCTACATGGAAAGATTCCAACAAGAAGGGCAATACTAAGGAGGCCACTCACTAAAAATTTAAAAATTCCCGATAAATACCCATGTGAACAGAGAACAATGCTTTTTTCCTTTAAAATATATGTATGCATGTACATATGTAAACCATGTCTATATATGATACCAGCAGAGGTCATAAGAGAGCACTGGATCCCCTGGAACTAGAGTTGTGTACCTCAGCGTGGGTGCTGGGAACCAATCTGGGTTCTCTGCAAGAGCAGCAAGTGCTCTTAACTGCTGAGCTGTCTCTCCAAGCCTCACGCTTTTATGTCTGTAAACCTAAATCGTCTTGTGAGGGTTGATTTGTTTTGCTAGTTTTTAGGTATAAATGCATTTAAAGGGGGAAAAACATTCAAAAGTTATCTTTTAAATAAACAAAACTATAGCTATTTTGTAACCTGAAAAACTTCCATTGCGTTTTACTGAAAATCCGATTGCAAAACTGTATATGCTATCATGCGCAGTAGAGGGGTCTGCCAAGCTGGACACTGGAACCTAAAAAGAAATTCTTCCTTCTGTACCATACTTCTCGGTGTCCTCTCCTGACAAAGCGCAACATCCTGTCGGTTGTGGGGAGAGGGTATGGTGGGTGGGGGTGTGCTGGCTGGTCTCATGTCAACTTGACGCAGGCTAGAATTGTCTGAAAGGAGAGGACTCAGTTGAGAAAACGCCTCCAATAAGATCCAGCTGCAGGACATTTTCTTATTAGCATATGGTTTCTGCAAAAAACTAAAACCCAATGCAGATATCACTAGTACTCTGGAAGCAAAAGAGTTCATTGTGAATATCTGAAGGCAGTGGAATTGATGGTGATTTTTATTTTTCTTTACTTTTGCCTATTTATTTATTTTGTAAAATTTCTAGGGTAAATGTATTACTTTTATAATAAGTTCTGGTCAATTTTTTTTTAGTAGAGGGATTTATGTCTCTATTTACTTGAGAGATGCCATAGCTCCAGTATTAAGCAGGTGGGATTCACATTCTTTAATTAGCCATAGTGAAAATCCTTACTTCTACATATGCTAAGAAAAATGTAACTGGAAGCAGCTAGGAGGGTCGTCAGTGATGCTGGGTGGCAAACCTCTTATGGATTCACCTGAGGGATAATGAAGTGTGGCTCTGTGTTGCTATTACACACTTGTTTATAATTACATAAGAGATACAGTAATAAGCTGATTATCTATGGACCGGAAGTCACTTACTTCACAGCCCTTTCTACCTTCTTAGACGTTTGTTATATAATAGAATTGTATTCACTGTTTTTAAAATCAAACAAAGACCCTACTGTTTCAGCTGAGAAAGCATTTTAAGCATCATCCAAAGATGACAAATAGATGTGTCTATGACATTCCAGAAGGAAATTTTAGAACATGTCTTTGATTTGGCTTCTCTAGGGACAGGTCTAAATAAGGAAAAAAATTCTGACGTTTTTCACCAAACAGTTGTCTGCTTAAATCCTTTACCAGTTGTGAAGGGGATTGGGTAGCTGAGTTACTCCCCCACCCCCTACCCCACCATGCCCAGTGGTGGTGATTGTTGGCTAGCTGGTTGTTGGTAGCAGGTTGTTTGGCTGATTGATATTATTGACTGGTCGATTGCAAGCATTGCATATGTATCACGTTCACGCTATTGTCCGCATGCCCCACCCATTAACTGGACTCCCTGGCACTCTGCGTGGCTTTTCCTAACTTGGCTTGTCTGCATCTTTGGCACAGGCCTCACAACTCAGTTTTCTGCTTGAAAACTGAGCAGCAGTCTATACTGAGATTAGTTGGTAAACCGAAGAAAAATATTTCTAACTCAGGGTAAATATTTTCTCTGTTCACATATTTAGGCAACTTGAGCACAGTTGCTCCTAACTTAAGGTTAATTCAAGTATAAGCAAAAGTCTGAAAAAATAAGTACCAATTTTTTAACAGCGACAGTAATGTCCTTAAGGAAGGTTTTAACTTCTTCATTGCAAGTGAAATAGTCACCTTGCAGAGATTTTTCTGAAAAACAAAAGATTAGAATATTAAGATCTCTGAAAGGATATTTTGCCAATCCTACTTGGTTCAGCCTTTATGATTTGGCTCAAATGCTGCATTTTACATTATCTGAATGTCTGTTGAATTTTATGAATTTCCTTTGAATATGTTTCCTATTGCATAGTATCCTAACTTAGATACATGTTTTATTATCCTTAAAGAAAATCTCTCAATAAATTCATCTTTGTAGACATGTCTTATGACAGGAAGAAGAGATTTCAAATAAATGAAATATCAGTAAGTATTTACAAATAAGAAAGAGCTAAGATGTCTGTAATGTAGGTTTAAAAGTTTTCATATTCACACACACACACACACACACACACACACACTCACACTGAATACAAATTACATTGTGCCAGAACACATACCACGTCACTTTAGGTAAGGAATCCCTTACATTATGAACATCTATACAAAAATGTGAAACGCAGAATGAATTTGTCAGTGAGCAGGTGTGGCATTGTGTTCCCATCCACTAATGTACTCAAGGTCTCCTTTTCCCTTAAGCTCTGTCAGTAGGGAGTACTAAGAAGCAGACATTAGTAGCCATTTCCATCTTCAGTAGAGTGAACTGTTACATCTGCCCTCAGTTCCAGGGAACTTGGACTATGCTCTGAGTGGTTATGTGTGTTAAAGAGGCAAGAGTGTGCTGGAGTTCTTTCTTTTTGGCTTTACGGAGTATGTGAGCACATGTCCATTATTGCTCTTGAATATTCTGGAGACTTACACACTTTCTAACTAAACTCAGAGCAAGAAATCTTTATTTTACCTTAGATAAGTTTTATCTTAGTTTTAGTTGTAGCCCAGGCTGGTCTCCAACTTGCTATGTAGCTAAGGATGACCCTGACCTTCTGATCTTCTTGTCTTCACCTCCCAGGTGCTGGGATCCCCACACCAGGTACAAGAAGGGTTAAGGATGTTTCTTCCTAAGAGAAAGCTCCTGGGGTGCTGTGACAGGCTGTGTTCTAGACATGGTCACTACACTCCCAAACTCACTGCAGCTATGGTCACCTGTACAAGGTGGAGTCAACAAGGTCAGGCAACATTTTACATGTAGCACTAATTGAACTCAGTGGGAGGAGGAGGAGGAGGAGGAGGAGGAGGAGGAGGAGGAGGAGGAGGAGGAGGAGGAGGAGAAATAATAAAAGCGGGAGAGGAAGTTTTGGGGTGTTGGGAGAAGTGGAAGAGAGACCTGAGGGATGGGTATGATCGTGATACTATGTGTGTATGTACGAAATTATCAAGGAATAATAGAAAAATTTCCAAGTCTCCAGGCATTATTAGCATATGAAAGTATTTATGCATAATTAATAAGGTTGAATGGACACCCAGTTCTAGAGATGAGCATGAAGAGAATTCAAGGTCCAAGTTCTAACAATGACCTTTGGCTACACCGGGGTAATTTGTGCCATTGATTGCTAACATTTTTCATGGGAATACTGGCCTGTGCTTATCCAGTGAACATTATGAAATTAAACTCAGTCCTCTAAGAAGGTGAAAGAGAAATCTCTCTAAATTGCAACCCTATCACAGAAAAGTTTATTTTGAAACAGTACGATGGTCACAGTGAAACAATGAGGTGGTTTGCCCTTAATGGTCTAAATGGCTTTTGACCTCAACCAGAAATGCCTTGAGATTTCTATCTGAATAAGTATCGTATTAATCACCTTTGAATGGTTGTGACCAAAATGCTTAACAGAAACAGCTTAGGGAAGGAGGCTTTTTTTGTTTTGTTTTGTTTTTTTGTCTTGTTTTCCTCTCCTCAGGGTTTAGACGGTTCGTCGTGGTGGGGAAGGTGTCACAGAGGCACTGCAGATCTCTGCAGTGGGGCGTGAGAAAGCTGTCCCCAGGAAGCAGAGGACAAGCAGCCACCAGGGGCTCGTTAAGACCTTCAAAGTCCACTCCTATCCTGCTCAGTGACAGACTTCTCTCAGCTGAGCCCTACCTCCAAACGTTCCACAGCCTCCTAAAAACAGCCCCACGAGCCAGGAAACAAACATTCACATTGCGATCCTGCGCAAGACAGTTCAGAGCCAAAGCCTACCATGTATGTTAGCGTGGTCACACACACAAGATTATTTTTGGTCCTCGTCTCCCAAGCACTGTCTTTTATCTAACTTTCTTTGCCTAATAAAACAAACAGGTGCCTCTTAACGCATTCCTTTTCCTACTTGTCTTTTAAAGTTTCCAGTTTTCCACGGTAAAGGGTGGAGGGAGATACACCCATGAAAGAAAGGGGGGACGAGACAGCTGAAGTGGAAAGCAGATACTCAGGTCCGGGTCGATGGCCTGGACGCCCAATGGTTATAGAGATCCATCACCCTAAATGAGCTTGAGCTGGTGCACAGAACACTTAGGCCCTCCCTGCCCCCCCATCTCTCGGACCAACAAGGAACAGAAGGCTAGATCCTGCTCAGGGACGTTGTAGTTTCAGGAGAAGAATGCCTGCCGGGGCTCCTGCCAAGGGCGGAGCAGACCACCATCTCCAAGGAGGATGAGACTCCTGGCGTCTCTAGAACTTCTCACCCACAACTAGGAGCTGCTCTAATGCGGCGGCCGCTACGGAGGAGCCTAGGGTGCTGGGGAAGTTGCATAGCTCCAGGGAGAGGCTGGTAGAGACTGAGGCAGGCCGCGTCGCTTTCTCGCTGACAAACCCCTTATCGGGGGTCCAGGAACGGAGAGCCATCTTGCTGCTTGGCGCCAGCGCTGGCGAAGGCAGAGGACCACGGTTGCCAGGGGCAGCGATGACGCTAACGTCTCCCGGCGCCCCCTCGTGGCCCCCACCTGTGGTGGGAACCTCCTTTGGTTCTCTTTACCAAGGCCTAAATGAATGGTCCTGGTTAGATGACTCTTCAGCTTCTCTGTCCTTCCGTTTCCTTAGTACATTTTGCCTTGAAACGTAGTTCTTTTATCCCCATGCGAGCTTTTTGATGTCAGGGACACACTGCTGAGCAGGCTCAGTGTTGAGTTTGATGACCAACTCTGCCTGTCTAGAGACAAGCAAGGTGATTTAAGTTCCATTCCTAAGGTTTCTTTGCAGGTGTTGAAACTGAAGTCCAACTCTGCGGTGCTTATTAGGTTTCGGACCCTGCTCTGAATACATTCCCTCCGGTGACCCATTTAACCGTTGTAAATTTGAGGTGGGTGTCTGGACCCACTTCCCAGGGGGAGGGTCCTGAGCCTGCCATCTGCCATCCCGCTACAGTGTCTGGAGGAGCGCTCAGCATGGCAACAGCTGGACCAGCTCCAGAATGGAGACTTTCAGCATCCAGGAGAGCCTATCCTGACTGTCGGCGCTGTCTCGGGCCCTTTCTTCTTGCTACATTTAGTCTAATTGTATTCAGATCTGTTGTTGCCTCTGTGAGATCTGTGGCTACAAGAACCCCAGAAGGCCCATTTCCCAAACTCTCTTGGATTTCTGGGTAAGTTCAACCAACAGGAGACACTAGGAAGAGATGAGAAGGTGGGGAGGCCACTCTGTCTCTGAGGGGGAGTCATTTCCAGCCACAATGGGCCGCAGGCACCATACCGGGTGGTGGGCTTGTGAGTAACTCTCTTACGGGGTCATGGTGGCGTTCTGACATTTTCCCCTTGGCTTGTATCGTCCTTGTGGCACACTTCCTTCGAGAGCTTCCTCTCCGGAAGCACGCACATTCTAATCCAGCCTTTATATTCTTCCTTCTCACCAACTCTCTTCATTGTCTACCATCGGAAGCTAATCTCTATGGGACTGCCATCGTCCTTCATTCATATCGAAGTTCTTACAGGTTTTCTAGCTTTTAAAAACTATTTCTCCTCCTGTCTGTAATATTTTATTCTCTCTGAACATGCTCCATGAAACATGTCCAGCATCTCCCGTAGCCCATGGGTCTTTTTAATAAAATTAACTCTACCCTTTTCAAAGGAACTTTTAAACTCTGAACCAGAAATCTGGACAAACGACAGGAAGAAACACTTCATAAAAGGTAAAACTGTCTCAGAAACACATCAATTTTTTTACCCACATTAGCATTCAAATAAAAACAGCACACCCATTTACATTGTATAATTGAGGTTCAAAAGAATAATATTGGTATTAAGAATGTGAATTGCATTGTATGAGGAGTTGTCATACAACACACCATAAAATGGTTCTGTGTGAGTGCTTGTGTGCATGCAAGGGCACACACATTTGTATAGTTTTCCTATGGAGACCAAAGGTCAATGTTGGGTTTTTTACCCAGTTGCTCTCCACTTTATGTTTTGAGGCATGGTATCTCACTGAAAGTGGAACTTGCCCATTTGACTAAACTGGCTGGCCAGCAAGCCACAGGGAACCTCCAGTCTCTCTGCCTCCCCAGTTCTGGGATTCCAAGGACATACTGCTATGCCAAGCTTTGATGTGAGCGCTGGGAATATAAACTTGGGACTTCATGCTTGAGTGATAAGCATTATGTTGACTGAGCCATGTCTTCAGCCCAAATAATGATTCTTAAAGAAACCAACCACAACTGTGTCCAAAAACTTACTTTGAACTTGCTTGTCATTTTATTAAAAAAATTTAGTATACAAAAACGTAACATTTTCACACATATATCATTATTTATGTAGGATAATACAGGTATAAAGTTCTATTTTAAATAACAAAATTATGTGCATTGGGACCCTGCCTTTAAGTAACCTTTGGGACATCTGTGTAGTGGGACAATCTAGGAATCAAGCCATTAAGTGGTTTAGAGTGTGGCACCTGATAGATTTAAATGAGCTCTACCACTTACAGCATGGAGTGTTTCTTGAGACTGGTGATCCCTACTAATTTCACTCATAACTCTAAAGGAGTGGAAGTAATAATATCTCTTAAATTTGTGGGATTGTTGGAAAAACTATCCTGACTAACGCTAACACATAGAAAATACCAAAAAGTGTATAGTAAATGAACACTGTGTATGTTAGAAAGAATGACTATAAATTTGCGTGCACATATCTAAGGAAACGTTTGAGTGAGGTGGGCATGTTCATTATGTTTATTGTAACGATCACCTTCTCAGTGTTTATATGGCAGAATCAACCACACTGGAGATTTGGTTCATGCAGTCTATTGTGCCTCAGTTACGCCGGATTAAAACTCTGAACTCTGTATGTCAGTATTTTTGATAATACTCTGCCTGTCGCAGCACAATCTTATGAATCAGTTTTAAAAGCCTGATATGCCTTCTTTCTGCTGCTGTAACAAAATGCATTAGACGATTGAGTTGAAAGGAAGAAGGGCTGATTTCAATCTTAGGTTTGGGCCGGTGGTTGCTTGGCTGTGTTGTCACTTGGTCTGTAGTAAGGACAGGGGGACACAGAGATGAGAGAGTAGTCCTAGCAGCCCTTTCAAGGGCACACCCTAGTGACCTAGCATCCTTTTGTTGAGTTCCACCTCCTCCTGATAACATCACAGGCTGAGGACCAAGACTTCAAAACATTTTAGATCCGGGTTGTAGTGCATTAACACCGGTCCCCTCATAAGCAAGAAGTCAGTGAGCAAGATGCTTTAGATGATGTTGATAGGGACAAGGGGCACTTGGTATTTCTGAAGTTGTAAAGCAAAGAAATACCTGAATTTTTCCCATAAAATTCCATATTTAGCTCACTTTCTGTCAAAGTGTGCAAACGAACTCAAGTGTATCCTTAATTATTGGTCTTTATGTAATATACTAAATAGATATTTCTGACAATTTAAGAGGTGATTTATCAAAAAAACAAAAAGCAAACCAAGGACCTTTCTATAATCACACAATAAATGTATGCTAAACTAAAGTCAGAACCTCAAATTAAAAGCGGACTATGCAAGGGTCTGGGGACATAGCTCAGGTAGCACAGTGCTTGTTGCAAAAGTGTAAGGACATGAGCTCAATTCCTGGAACCCAGGAATAAAGCCCATCATGGTGGTGTAGCAGAGAAAGGCAGATACCTGGAGCTTGCTGGCCAGCTAGCCTAGCCTAATCAGTGTGCCCAGGTCCCCAAAGCAAGGAAGATGGCTCTTGAGGAGTGACACTGAGGTTGTTCTTTGGCTTCCACTTGCTATACACACACACACACACACACACACACACACACACACACACACACACACACACACACGCACGCACGCACACACGCACGCACACATGCTTCACGCACACGCATTCAGGTGGTCTTTGTGGCACATAAGAACTGTAGCAAGCTGAGTCTCTGTCATTCTGTCATTCTCACTCTAAGCGCATTGTCCTGTGCCCATCAGTGTTTGGCCCGTACAGTGCTGTCACACCTCTGCTGCCACCTTCAGCGTGTTGTCTCATCCTCAGGACTATTCCCTCCATGGCCACTAATGGTTGCTGCAGCCCCAGCTGTTCTGCACTTGTACGAAGCAGGGGAAGTAGAACATTCTCAGGTGTGAAAGGCCCACTTTCCTTTCTTCAGGGAAGGAAATCTGTCCAGAATCTCACACATCTCCCTGTCTTGGTGTCCCAAGTGGGATCACAAGGCCACCCAAGAAGGGACTTAGAACAATGAGTGTCTACACTGTCATCTCCGAGGATGTGACAGGAATCAAGAGGCTTCAGGCCAGCTGGGAGCTGGGCGATCTCTATGTAAGTCAATCAAATTCATGTTCAACCTTAAGGTCAGCTCCAAGCTAGCTGCAGCTTCCTATTTAACATCAAGGTCAGCTCCAAGCTAGCTGCAGCTTCCTGTTTAACCTCAAGGTCAGCTCCAAGCTAGCTGTGGCTTCCTGTTCAACCTCAAGGTCAGTTCCAAGCTAGCTGTGACTTCATGTTTCTCCCGTGTCTGAGAAGGAATCAACAAAGTTTCTCTGGGTGAATAGAAAGGGAGTTTGCATCTAGAGTATCTCCCAAATTTAAGCCTTCCAGTTGGCTTCATGCCTGGCATGTCTATGTACGATGTTTATATATTAGAATATCCCTGCTCCTGTAAGTTCTAGTAGCTTCTAAGGTATTTTGATTGATTTCACATGAAATCAGAAGGAAGACCTATTTGGGGATTGAGAAGGCCAACAAGAGTTGGGGCAGGTGACATGAATACGATACAAATTAGAATAGAGTATAGCAACATGTATGTATGAAAATACTATAACAAAACCCATTACTTTGTTAATTGAAACAAGTTAATGAAAAAGGTGCCTAGGTTCAGTTCTCAGTTACAGTGACTCCAGCGTGTGGTTATTTGTGGCAAAATGGCAGAGCAAACATGTGCCCTAGGTGGTACCAGATTGCTAACAGTGAAACCGACAAGTGCCCCAAGAGAATAATGCCAAGGGAGGAAAGGCAGGTACCCTGAAGGAAGGACAGGCTGTGTCAGTCAGTGTTCATAACAACACTCAGCATAATACTTCCCTCAGTTTTCTCTCATGACTGTTTCTTTTCAGTGACCAAATGGATTTGGAACAACCATTGGCCACATCATTGTTAATGGTTGTAAGAAATTTGCCTCTTTGTCTCCTTTCTTCATGTGTAAAGTGGGAATTTGTATCCTGGGATTGTGAACACAATGATGACGTCCTAACCTCAGAACACTTGCTCAGGATTTCCCGCCCTATGCATTTCCCAGCTTTGCCTTCTGTTAGTGGAAAACAAACAGTGTTTCTGAAATGCAAATGCTACCTTTTCCCTTGATTTGTTATGCAGACTTCAGTGACTATTATCTGAGCCAACAGCTGCAGTAACACAAATGGGAAATT